CATTTATGCAAAAAGGTCAAAGGCCTCTGGGATCATCTGATTTTTCTTCATATACTCCCAGAGACCCCTACTGCAAGAGTCCACTCTTCAAAGCATTTTTATTCTAGGATCACTGATAGCTGACTTTATGTTTTCATGAGTTTTTTTAAAGTATTGGCTGCGTTTATGTAACTACCTAATGACGCTGTCCAAATTCAACAGCTTAAGTGGGGGTGGGCACTGCTGCTTCAAGACTGATCATTCCAATACCCAAAATGAGCAAAATACCATCCTATCATCATCAAAGGCACACACACTTGTAATGCTTCTGTTTGGTGCTGTTTGAACCCAAAGCTTAGTACTGATCTTCACCAAAGAGAGATATAAAGCCTCAAATGAGATATTAAAACACATCAAGAAGAAAAACCTAAATTAAAACAGAATACATAAAGTATTTTTAGAGGAAGAGATATAAAATGGTTTACAAAGTTCCAGTGCCACCAGAGACAGTCAAAATACCAACGTACTGTAAAAGAAAAGTTTCTGAGCACACAGCTTGATTCGAAGAGGCATTTTCCCATGAAATTTACGGCAGTATTTACTGTAACTACTGAGAATCAACAACGAATAGGATATCAGGGAGCTGTTTTACTAAAAGTGTTGCAGTAGTGTGCAGTAATGAGACTGTACTCTATGGTTGTCCTTGAACTTTGGAAACAAAGGGGGGAAAAAAACCTGGGAAAAATAGATATATCATTTAAGTGAACTACTTGTATGTACAAAGTACCATATTTTCTTTCAACATCAACCTACACAATACCAAAGGACTGTATAGGACATTTTGGAGCAATGTAGTTTTTAACTCTAAAGTGAACATAGCAAGCTTGTTAATCCTTATGGGTCCTTATGGACTTGATAATCCTTATGGGTCTCTTCTACCTTAAAACATTAGATATGATTTTCATCCATAAAAAGGGAAAAAAGACTACAAAAATAAAAGCTTTGCAAGCATTTGAATATATGTTACAAATACACCAATGAATTGTCTTTAGACATTTTATGCTGCATTTTTTATTTTCTAAAAAAACACATTTTCTGGTAATATTTGTACCCTGACAGTGCCTCCTTCAATTGTTATAGTCACTTATTTCATACATAGAATTTTATTTCACCATTTTATGGAGCTACACTATTTAATCTGTTCAAATCTCAGGTTATAAATTACAAAATGGTCTTCTGAAACCCAAAATATATTTTTAAAAAAATAGGGGGGGGGGGTGGGTGAAGGGAAGAGAGATAAAGCAATCAGCTCTTTATTTCAAATCATCCTTTATACTCAAGTTCCTCTTAAACAGAAAATTGAGGGAGCACACAGCATCTCAGTTTTAAAACTACACTTTTGTTTTCAAAAGAATGGAAAACACATAACTCACTAAAAGCAAGCTAATTTCTTCATTCCTTTAAAATAAAACCATTTGAAGGCTTCAAAATCAGTGGAAGAGAGTGACAGCTTGAAATATGCATTCTGAAAATAAATCAAAAGGCCCTTTTAATCTTTAGTTTCTTATTTGGGGAAGCAGAAGATGCTATGACCTTACAAAAACTAGCAGACTATTTACAGAGATACTTTGGACAAATTTTTCAGTTTTATTATACCTCAATCATTGAGGTATAATCACTGCAATGCTCAATCATTGCAGCATCATCAAAACTAAGGATAAAATAAAACATAATCCAAAAAATATAGCAGAACAAGGGTGGATCTTTTGTAGAAAGAAAATGATCCATCCAAAATACACTTCTAGCAGACTCCTCCTCATGAAGGAAGGAAAGGGACTAGATTTAGGCTACAGTTCAACTGTTGCTTCCAGACAATTTGAATCCAAGCTGCTCTCAAGAAGCAGTTTGACACTTTTCCAACTGTGACCACCTACTTTTCTCCTGATGCTCATGCTCAGCAAAGTGGATCCTGCCCCTGTTCCAGCTCACACAGGGCTGCACAAGTCCATCAGAGGACAGCAATCAAAAAGAAACACTAACCTGAGTGTCATACTCTTTCTGTCCTCCATTTTTCACAAGGACCCTAAAAACACTGTCATTAGGTTTACTCTGTCAGCAATCTAATGACTTTATTAGAGTGGAGGAGCTCCATCAGCAGAGACAGAGAGAGGCTCATCACCTCAGCTGTGAGTCACTTGGTATGTGGGAGACCCAATCTTTAGCCCTGGCTTCAAATCTGGCAGAATTAGAATTTAATTCTAGAAAGCTCAACATAAGAATGGCTCATAAACCTTTTCTCATTCATTCTTACAACAAAAAATTGTAAAAGAATTCTTAAAAGAATGCCAAATTGTTACCCTCTCCTTGTCAGCAAGCATATTATGCATATAAGCTACCATATGCTTGCTGGCTAACCCTAAGTAGCAGCAGAACAAACTCTCACAGACAACCAGTCAACTACACCAGCTGAGCCACCCAGCAAGCATCATGCATTTCAGGTTTTCTTAGCAAGTCTTTGACTTTCCAATCCAGTTCTTAGAAAAGAAATCTAGTAAAAAATAAGGCAACAGTGATTCAACTCTTCTGGAGCTAAAAAGCTCCTGTGAATTTTAATTGTTTCCAGCTTACATTGTTCTTTACCAATACATATAAACAAAATCAACTAAGTTCATAATAATCTTGCAGTTCAACAGGACTGTTTAATACTTACATAGAACAAGAGGACTTCAGGACAAAAGTGCAACTGGCTATACAGGAAGTCCTGGCCCCAATCTTAGATTCTGTGCACATGTATCTGAAGGAATATTCCCCCTCTAGCACAGAGAGAGTTTTTCTGATCTAACACGGGAATAAAAAAGCACACAGAAACAGTTTCAGTGCCCCAGGGAAAAAAAAAAAAAAATCACTCTTTTCACCAAATAATCTAGCAATCTGTGACACACAGATCTGCTCAGGTAGAGTATCATACTGTTGCACAGCACAAACTATGCCAAAGCACAAATGCAGCTTCTCTTTCCACACACCTCATTTCACTCCCTCCAATCTAAATAGGTTTAATGCTGGGATAACATCCTAAGCAGCTTTGTCTTAATCATCTGCATTTTCCCAAGCAGCTTCTGCACTGGCAACAAAGATTCTTCAGAATCAGACAGAAATACTGGTCAGAAATTAGTAGGGACTATTGCAACGCCCAATATATGTTTTCTTCTTCTATTCTTTACTACATAGACCCATGTCCTTCAAGAGCAACAGACAACCAAGACTGTTGTCACTCTATTCCAGGTCCCATACAAGCATGAGGTTTTTTTCAGAAAGTTTGTTTCCAGGTCTCAATCCTACCATGAAAAGTTGAGCTTCTGGACTTTCATATAAGTCAGTCTCCAAAACTATATTTTTTGTTCCATCCCCCTTAAGATCAGTGCCTGGAGTGAACATTTCCTGACATTCAGCATCACAATAAATTATAACCATGATGACAATATTATTGGTTCCCTTCCACAGATTTTTCCCCAAGTCAAGCCATAAGAACAAAGGCAAAACCGTGATACAACTGTCAAGGCAGAATCTTAATACTGTCAGCTGATACTGATCAGCAAGCACCACATGCCCACAAGGACTGGAAAATATCCTTGTACAGACACAGCCCAAACACATCAGTGCATAATACTAGGCTGTGAATGTACCATGCCATCTTGATGTCTGACAAGGAACCACTGGTCCTAGTTCTTCTACATAGACTTCCATCAACACCATAAATGCCTTCCCCACTCTGCCAGAGCAACAGGAGTATTATTTCACAGTGGCATTTACAGCACACAATGAAAAAGTCTCCAAAAGCATCTTTCTACTGTGAAGCAAAGAAGATGTTTCCTAATTAGTACTAAGTGTGTAGCATTTTCTTTCATTTACCTGTTCACATACACTGTAGCCTACCAAACCTATTTATAAATGGTCACCCTTCCCTGGGCCATTCAGAAAAATGCTATTACACAAAATTAAATATTTTTTCTGACTTTTTGACACTAAATATCACATAACCTCTTTCTGCAGCCCATTTAAATGGATTTTTCCTGATTAATGAGGGAGTGCCACAAGAGCAAGCACATATTAATATTACAGAATTGGTCAAAATAAGTGAAATAATATTCATCATGTTAGGTTTCACCCCTTACCCTTTCTTATAGTTGTATGCTCAGCCTATTTTCATCAATGAAGATAGTCTTGCAAATTACTACAATAATTCCAGGGAAATCAGCATGAATTTTAGTTATGGCATTGCAGATAAACTTCCGGGTACTGCAACAGACCTCTAGTACTTTAGAAAATGCTACTACTGAATGAAGTAATTTGTAACTAAAATTAGTTCAGGGTAGGAAAATTTGTTACACTGTGTAACTGTGTTCTTAATCCATTTTAACACTGTTCTATGCTAAGAAAAACACTATTACTAAATACTATTATAGAAAGGCGGTGTAACAAATTTCATTTCTGTAAAAATAAAAACCAACCCAATCAAACAACACCTATTTCTGCTTTTGTCAATAACAAACTTAAATAAAATACACCTGAGTAATTAAGAAAATACAGACAATTCTTCAAATGCCACAATATATTTTAAGAGATTGATGCAGAGCAAGCAGATATGCCTCATGCTTATCCAAACTTGAAAAGACTGCTTAAAACAATCTGTCCTGAGCCTTATATATATCAAATATAACAGCTTCCTGTCAAGGATTGTTTTGAAATCCTCTAGGTAATGCTCTAGCAACTTACAGCATAGCAACATGGCTGCAGTAATTGTGACCAACAAAAGCTGTAAGACACAAGTAGAAATAAATATGATTGCAGCAAAATGCTGTGATCATTTTCCTCTCTTTTTTCCTTACAGTCTGCAGTTCACATTCTGATGCAAACACTGTAAGATAATTTAGGTGGAAAGACATTGCAGATACAGCTACTTACCTTGTAAGATGGAAAACTCTGTAAACAAAAAGCACACTGCAATTTACACTGTCACTCACCTCATAGGACCAAACACACTGAGTTCCTCCAAACCTCCGGACACACCTGCCCACTTCTACATCCTCATGAGTGGTGTACATTTCTCGAAGGCATTCACCTATATGTGGCACCATCCTCCGGAGAACTTCCCGGCTGAAGATCATTCCTGGCCCTCCCATGCAGAAATTTTCTCCAGGCTCCAGCCCCAGTTTTCCGAGTTCTTCAATATTACCCAGACCAGTCTGCCCCAAATACAGCGGTTTACTGCTGTTCAGTGAGCGAAGAAACTCCTCCAATTTTTCACCTGATAAAAAGACAAGATTGCTGTTATTTCTCTGACTGCTCTACCAGCCATCTCTTTTCCTGTACTTCAAGCTTTTATAAAAATATAACAGGTACCTGAGACTGTCAGAGGAAATAACTTCCAAAGCAATATTCTACACCTTATGGAAAACATTTTTGGACAAGTTAACAGTGTTTTTTTAAATTAACATTACAATGAAATTTTCCTTCCAGCCAGAAGTTGGAATATGGTCAAAACTTAATTTTTAACAGTGAACTTTGTTCTGTTCAAACAATACTGATGGAAAGCACTTGTTAGTATAAAAGTCCCTAAAGTTGGACAATTTGGACAATACAGTTCCAGGTGGAGGAGGAAAGGGAGTGGATGGGAAATACCAGGTAAGATTTTAATATGATTGTTTTTTGAAAATACCAGAGCAAATCTAAATTAATGAAGAAAAACATGTTTAATTACAGAATCCTTGGAAAGAGAGTAAAACTCTTGTTAGTTTCAAATAGTTCCAGTGCCACAATGTTTATACAGTTTTCCTCCAAATCCCTTAGGTAGTTATTTTAGGAAACTTTGTTCAATATTTATTTGAAATTAAGTTTCCAGGTAGGTTTAATTTGGTACTACGAAATCTATTAAAGACAAGCTCAGTACAACTTCGAAATGAGCTCAGAGTAAACACAACTTGACATCTGCGACAGAATGTGTGTATATATATTTATATACATGTGTACATCTGCAACTATTTGACAGGTGAATGACAGCTGATAAGCAAGCAGCCTATTAAAAGACTCAAAATTAACCGACAAACGGGGAAGGGTACAGCCACCACCTATGAACTTACTACAGTGTAAGCAACTGAGCTCACAACCTGGGCTTATGCTTTCAACTTCGGCTTCCCTTTCCTAAGTGCGGGAATGCCAGCCTCAAGCGCAGACCAAAAGGAAGCAGGCTGCAGAACAACACGTCCTACTGGTGCTATGAAACTCGCACGGGACCAGGGCTGGCGCTGCCCGGAGGCACCCGCTGCATCGAGCAGCAGCTCCACTCCGCTCGCCCAGCCCAGGGTGGAGGCAGGCGGGGAGCTGGTACTGGTGACAGCAGCACCGCTCCCGAGGAGTCCCGCACCCACCCCACGGGGGGCCGGGGCGAGGCGTGACCGCCAGACACCCTGCGGTCGGGTCGTGGGTCCTGCACCGCCTCGCAGCCCGCCGCGCCCGCCAGGACCAGCCCCTCTCCGCCGGACCACGGCAGAGGCTCGTCCGGAGGATCGCCACGGAAGGGAGGGCGGGGACGGCAGCAGCGGGACCACACGCCCATCCAAGGGACCGCTCACTGTGCCCGGCGTGGTACAGCCCGCAGTTTTGGCTCTTGAGTCGCGGCTTCCACAGAGACGGCCCGGCCCGGGCATGTCGGGATTCCCCCAGGGATGAGGTGGGTCCCCAGGCCCCACACACTTGGGGCTGGAAGCGAACGCCGGCGGGGCGGTGGCAGGTCGAGGCGCCCCAGGCTGGAACCGAGTCTCTCCCAGACCCACCGTGGGACTCCGCCGGGCTCCCAGCCATCGCTCCCCTTCCTCCCTGCCTCCCGCCGGCGGGATGCGCCCCGGTCACCTTTTATGTAGACGTCGTCGTCCGCCCGCATGAACCACTCGTACTTGTCCAGGTAGTGGTCGTGCATGTACTTGATCATCATGAAGGACTTCTTCTGCGGCGGGTAAGAGTCGTCCACTCCTGGCAGGGCGACGACGGGCAGTGGGGGCATCCCGGGGGGCGCGGCGGAGCCCTGGCTGGAGAAGAACTCCACGCGGCCCGGCACCGAGGGCGCCCACGTCCGCTGCGCCGCCACCGCCCGACTGCCCAGGTACTTCTGGGCCGTCATCACCCCCACGTAGAGGAAGTTGCGGGGCTTGGTGCAGCCCTGGGCTCCCCCCCAGTCCCCGCTCCCGTTGTGGCTGCCGCCAGGCCGGCCGCTCCGCTTCTCGCCGCCCTCGTCCTCCTCCTCCGGTTCCCCTTCCCCGCCGGCAGCGGGGCTGGAGACCGTGCCCTCCGCCGCCGCCGGCGGCAGCTCCCAGGGGCTGCTCCTGAAACTCGTGCCGCCCAGCACCGCCGCTGCCCCCGGCGGCGCCTGCTGCCCGCCCGCCGCCGCCGCGCCCCGGGCCGCCCCCGGCCCCGCTGCACGGCCGTAGTAGGAGCAGAGGCTGGCGCCGCGCCGCTTCTTCTCGCTGAGCTCGGCCACTCTAGGGGCGATGAGCCAGGAGGCGGCGGTGAAACCCAGCACCAGCCCTAGCACCACGCTCAGCCAGGGTCTCCGGGATCGCGCTGCCATGTCGCGGGCGGGGCGGCTCCCGGAGCAGCAGCAGTCCCGCTAGAGGCGACCCCGTCCCGCGGCGGCCTCAGGCGCGGCGTCTCCCGCCGCGGGTCCCTGCCCCGCCGCGGCGGCCCGGGCGGCTGCGCTGCTCCCGAGTCAAACTTCTGCGGGCGGGAGGGCGGCGGAACGAGAGCGGCGGCGCCTCCGCTCCGCTGGCACCTTGTCCCCGCCGCGGCTGGTCCCTCCCTGCCCCTCCCACCGCTCAGCCTCCTCCGCCCCGGCCCCCGCGCAGCGCCCGCCGCCTTCCTCCGCGGCTGCCGAGCGCCTCACCCCGGAGGGCGCCTCCGGCTCCCGAGCTGCGCCGGAGAAGTGGCGGCCGCCGCCGCTCCGGAAGGAAACGATTTTTTTAGATGCCTCTCGCGGATGCCCCGCGCCGCGGCCTCGGCACCCGGACGGGCCCCTCCGACAGCCGGCGACCCTCCTGCCCGCTGGGGCAGGGGCAGGCCGGAGTTGCCCCCCGGGCGGTGCGGAGGGATGGGGCTCTCCCCGACAGCCTCCCTTAGCTCTGATCCTGCGGTGCGTCCCGGACCCACTCTCTCAGCGGGCGAGGCCGGGGTCTCATCATCATCATCCGAGGGCGACCACGGGGCCCCGGACAGGACCGTTCCGCCCGGTCATCTTCTTCAGAGAGGTGGTCATGGAAGGGAGGTCCGGGATCTCGTGTCGGGAGGAGAGAAGCCCTCTCCGCTGCCCCGGCTCTGGCCTCTGCTTTCTGCCCCTGACAGTTCACAACTCCCCAGCTAAGAGTGTTTTTTCCTGTGGCGTGGATTCCCACGGCCTGAGTACATCATTAGGATAAGTATTGTTAGCATTATTGGTATTGTTAACATTTGTTCTCATGAGCTCCAAGATCCTTACTTCCTCATCCTCCTGACCTCCGGGTAACGACACTGTCCACAGTCCAGGATGAGTGACAGCAAGAATTAAATGTTCAGGACACTGTGCCTACAGGGACCGTTTTAATTCTGAAGTTTAAGGTTGCTAGCATATCCTCCACATTTATATACATCCCTTATTTAATTGTGCAAGATGTCTGTCTCCAACAAAAAGCCATAAATTGCTCTTCACATCCATTTGTCTTTTCACTGAAATGCATCGATACATCAGATCCAGTACCATATAATAGTTTTCAGCAAACCCACCCATTTCTGTGGCTAATCTGTGGCGTTGTCTATCACTTCCCGTGACTTTATCAATTGTCAGACACATGTCAGTGTGAGGAATATGGAAGCTGGTGTTCTGTGATGTTAGCAAAAGTACGCAAAGAGTGAGAGAAAAATTTCAAGCCTTTTTGGAAAAAGACAGATACTGCTTTACCCACCTAAGAGAGCAAGTCTACTCTGCATAGTCTTTAGCAGCAAAGAGGTCACTTATTAAAGTAATTTGCAGATTTTCCATGTGACTCCACCACATGCAGTGAGCAGGCTGTGTGCTTTTGTGTTTTTGAGATGTAGAAGCGTCAGGCTCAGGCAGCATACCCTATGGCTTCTTCAGGACCGAGTGTCCTTTCCAAGCAGTCCATCATTAATTTCCTCTCCATGTGCACACAGGCTGGCACATTCATAACACCAATCAGTAAGGCGCTAGGCATTCACTCCAGCTGTTACCACTAGAAACAACAGCCCAAGTGTTGTGTCTGGGTGTAGGAAAGCACCAAGATGTTCTATGATGTGAGCAACAAGGTAGCAAATCCTGGGTCTGTCTTCCCCAGGCTACTAACAGACGAGCTAAGTGGAATGGATGTTCTCCGGAAAGGCTTTACAATGGCATTAGGAATAACCAGTGTTATGAGCATCTCAGCTTCCTTTAGGAGCCTTGTGTTTCAAAATACTACCTCCCATCCCTTCCCTCCAGCTCCATGCAAACAGCTGGGAGTTGCTGGGCTGTGGTGAGTCATGTGCAGTACAGCCTCCTGTGGTAAGGGCTCCTTGAGACCTACACAACCCCATCATCATGGTGTCCTAAGTTTTCAGTCAGCTTGCTGCTCTGGGGTTGCAGAGGTACAAAATGCAACACTAAGCCACTTCCCTTGCCTATGCATATACTGAAATTACTCCAGCCAGTGTCAGCTGCACCAGCTCCTCAGATCTGACAGCTCTTATTTTTGTCACAAAACAAACAGGTATAATCACCATGAGAGGGGATTATAAAGCCCTTCACACACTTCTGAGTTGAAAATGGACCTCAAGGTGTTGTGTATTATCAAAATAATTTATAAAGAAATTGAATATAAGGTGTGTACCTATGTTCATTTGTATTTTTAGTTCAATACTATTCCACTGTTTTGATACACTGCAGAGAAGTCTGTTGAAGGTTTGTGGGATTTAATGGACACAGATGTAAACTGGATCACTTTTATAGGAGCAATGGTGGCATCTAGTGGTTAACAGTAACAGTCCTGTACCTGTGTCCAGAATGCCTTTAAAAATCATATAAAGAGCATCAAAAACACCATATATATTATCTTCATAGGATCCATAGGAGGAAAGCACTGTCTAAATCTAACTGCCCTTTAAGAGTTCCATTAGGAAGAAAGAATAATAATGGTGAATGCCATTTTCAAAACCAAAAATAAAAGCCTTAAAAAAGTGGTGGCAAGTGGATATGCCTAGAAAGAAGTTTAAGACTAGGATATATTAATTTGAGCTATTATTAATATATTAATATATTAATATACTCATATATTAATATAGGAATATAGGAATATATTAATTAATGAAGTTATTTCTTTCACAAATCAGACAAATCTGAAAAACTTGCAGGTGGATGGCAGAGTTCAAATCCAAACCAAAACTTTTTTCACTGCTTTTTCACTTTCATTTTTGAAATCAGCAAATAACACCTTTTTAAGTGTGTGAGATTTAGAAAAAAAATAGAGCATTTGACTCTAAGTGATGGAAAATAATGTGTCCACTCCACAAAAATAGCTCATATCAGAGCTAGCACACCCGCCTGCAAAAGATAAAGAAATATCAATTGTCTTTGAAGAGCAAACTGATATGTGGAAAGAAAACTCTATAACCCACAGGTGTATTTATTCAGCACTGAGGTGCATGGGGGGCTATCTCCTCCAAAGACATCACACCCTGGAGACTTGCCCCTCTCTTTTTATTCTCTACAAACTAGGGTTACTCAATATGCCTAATACATATTCATTTCCTAACCCTTCTTGTCCCCACTTCATATTAAAATTAGCTCCATGCCTCTTTGCGGCTGTGCACTGCTCCCTGTTGGTCACTCTGGTGGTAATCTGGGGGTCTTTGGGGCTGAAGTAATTGATCTTCCTCTCAGCTGAACTTTTCACCTTGTCTCCTTGGATTCCTCCTTTTAGTCCTTTGACCATGTTTCAGACTTTGGTACCATTTTTCCCAGCTTAGGGGTCCAAAGAATCCCCTTATCCCATGGTGCCTTTGTCCTTGCGTCCTGCTTACGCATTCTAGCTCTTTATCTTACCTTGTAGCCTTGGTCTCTTCCTGCTCTTGTGGGAGCAGTAAGCATTTCATAAGGTTCTCTCAGCCCCCCTCTTTTAGTTAAAACACTTCTTGATTCTTGATTCCTAATTCTTAATTTCTCTGTTTCTAAACTTACAGGAGCTCTAAGCTTTAAATTCCCCTTGGGCATTTGGTTTCACTAGGGAGGCATACAGACATAATTTACAGAGAAGTAGTTGTAACTGCCAAGCATCCTATAACATTTTTGTAGGCCCATTCATTGATACACCTGGGTAATTCTATGCATTAATAGTATCTTAACAAATAAATGATCTTTAGTCTTCATTTTTATGTTCCAAAACTCCTCAGGGTTTATGGCTGAGTTTTGTATTTTTACACTGTGTTTGCATTATTGCAACATCTGTCTCTATAACCATTTGCATTTCTATGTACTGTTTCATTTTGGAAGGTAACTATATGTCCAATCTATTAACCCTCACAGACATCCAACTGAATATGGTTAAAGCCTTTCCTATTGATTTTGCTAGTCACTGGATCCAGCCAAATCTTGGATAAATATACCCCTTTTTTTTCAAGAGAGATTAGCTCCTTATGCCCTTATGGTCTGTCTTGGTTTGAAAAATAGGTGTCTGTGAAGGAAGGTGGGAACAGAAAAAAAAAAAGACCCCCTTTCCTCTGAATTATTATAACCTTGAAATTAAGGGAGTTTCAGGCAGATGTGGGAAAAGGAATAACAGGTCTTTACGTGTATGTGTATGTGTATGTGTATGTGTATGGGTATGTGTATGTGTATGTGTATGTGTATGTGTAACAAGGCAAACAAACAACAACAACGGCAGAGACAACAAAAAGAACCAGAAGAACAAAGCACCTCTGAGGAAATTGGTTGACTTTTTTCCCTTTCTTGCCAGTCTCCGTGGCAGGAGGTGGGTTTTGGTGGGACCAGGGAAGGTGACATCCCAGTTGGCAGCGCCTTCCCTGTACCTGTGGAAACCCTTGATCAGCATAGCTCACTATCTCGGTTTACACAAAGCAGGCACACTTTGTTTAAAGAATATCAAAACTTCCTGGGTTTTCGCACTGAAATTGGTAGGGTGGAGTTAAGGCTAAATATCCCATGCAAACCCTTTTCCTCCCTCCTCCAAGAGTGAGCAGCTCTTGGGAAGTGAATCCTACCTTGCCAATGCCACCTGAAGCATCTTTCATGGGATGCCCTTCCCCTTCAGTGGGGAGGGGCCCGGGAATCCCGGGGTTTCCCCTGAGGCACCCGAGCAGATGGTGAAAAGGTCTTTTTTTAGCGGGGCAGGGTGTTAATGAGGCCTCTGGTGCCGCTCCCACCAGCAGAGCTCACCCACGGTAGAGGAAGGCAGCGGGAGACAGAGCCTCGCAGTGCCGGCGAATTCTCCCTGCGCCCACCGCAGCGTTTCTCCCCTTCGATGCCGACATCGAGAGAGGGAGAGGAGCCGAGCCCAGCCGCTCTCTGTGGTATCTTTGCCCTTCCAAAGA